TATGCAGAGTTGTAAGAATTGTTATTTAAGAAATTTAAAAAAAGTAATATTTGATGACTATGAGCAAGCTGGTTAGCAAGATTGTTAAATGAATCATCTTGGTGTGTAGTAACTTTGTGAAAAGTGAGTTGAATATTGTATGAATTAATAAAGTTAATAAGAGTTTGCTAAATAGAAAAGTATGAAATATGAGTATGAGAGAGTTTAAAAACTGATAAGCAAATACTGTAATATTTGGAGATTACAGATTGTGAGTCAATAAAGATATGAACAGAATAGTTTCTAAAAGCAGTAATAATTGCTAAAAGAATAACAAGGATTTTAGCTTTAAAAAAACATAGCCAAAGTTTAACTTGTATCTGAAATAAATAAGTAATTACAGAGTTATCAATTTGAACCTAGCCTATGCCTATAGAGCATTGAGAGGTACCAAGCTCAATAACAGAACCATTAGTATAATATAAGATAGTAGTTAGGTTATAGTTAGAATTAGCAATAAACTGTAAGCTATCAGTAAGTTGGCCTAACTAAAAGATGTAAGGTAATTGTTGTGAATTGATTGTTAATGAAAAAGGAGGTAGAATATGTAAAGAATATCAAATAGCTACAGAGTATACAATATCAAGAAAATTGGCATATAGATTAAAACTTTTATCAGAATTAATATGACAAAGTAATTTAGTAGTCAAATTTGTAGGAATAAAGATAATACACTTGTTAGCAATTGTATTAGATTTAAGATAGCATTCAGGACATATAGTAGTAGTATAAGGAGGAAAAGGATAAAGGTTAGAAAACTGAGACTAAAATGAACAGTGCCAGTGAGTAATAAGAGTAAGGCTTGTAGAACTGTTATGCCTTCTGGCCTTGCCAACAATGATTTGATTGTTGAGAACAGTAAGTAACTAGGGTTTAGTATTAGAATTAAAGTGACCAGTATATAAGAAAAATAGTTTTATTAAGGTAGATTAAAATAATTATATAATGTATATTGATAAGAATAGCTTGTAGTAATGTTCTCAAGAGTAGTAAGCCATTGAGGTATAACATCTTTAGAGAGTTTGTTTAGTCTAGAAGAAATATGTTGCCAATGTAATAAGTATAAATTATCATAAATAGTAAGTTGGTCAAAAAAAAGAAGTTTGTGATATCTTAGTTGTTTTTTAAAAACGGAATATTTAGAATAGAAGGAGAAAAAGAGATTTAAGAGAGATAGTTCTATCCTGTAAAGTGTAAGGAATGTTATAAGTTAGATTAATTGAGAGTGTCTAGCCAATATGTTTAATAAGTTGTATAATTTTAAAGTTTGTAGTTAGATGGTTGGGACCATCAATAATTGGGTTGGAATGAGAAAAAATGCTAGTTAAAGGCCAAAAATTGTTTTGTAATTGTTAGATTCAAATATAAGTAGATGTGCCTAATAGATTAGAATTATTAAGTCATTTGAAAAGATTAGAAATATGGTGTTGTAGTTGAATGCCTCAAATGTGTTTGATGTTATAAATTTGTAGATGTAGAAGAGTACTAGAAGGTATTGTACAACAAAATTTGGCTTTGAGTTTGACAAGGCCAATATGCTGAGTGAAAATTTTGTTGCAAGTTAATTGATTGATTACAATATTTTGAAGTAGAATAGGTATGTAATGAATACAGGAACTAAAATGTTTAAATAATGAATCTACAGACAAATTTTAGATATAACAATTAGTATAAAACCTTAAAATAGACAAATTAAATTAGATAATAACTAAAGCTATACAAGTGGCTAGTTTGTATACTCTTTTAATAATTGTTTTTATAGTTATTATACAAATAACTATTAGCTAAAATATATTATTAATAAAATTCCAAATCAAAAGTACTTATCTTAATATTAAAAAAAAGATACAAAGAAAGAAATAAAGTTATCTTTATAAACTACTAACTTATACAAACTTATTATTTAAAAATTTTATTAAATATAATTTATATAGAGAATACTTTTTAGAATAATTTAGAATCAAACAAAAAAAATATAAATTATTTAATAAGCTAATAACTAAAGAAAAGAAACTTAAATTTGAAGTTATAAATATAAAAAGAGTTATTAAAAAATCTAAAAATAGAAGTAGAATTAGAAAATCAAAATTTAAAATAAACAAAAAAAAATTATTTTTATTTTTATTTTTTTAAATTAAAATCTTTGCCTTTGAGAAATTATATTTTTATTTAAGTTTTTTTAGCCATAAATGTCTATAGAAATGCTACATATATGTTCTACATTAGAGTTATACTTGCAAGCCAACTATAAGTCTTGCTTATTTAAACTCTTTGTATATATAATTCCAACTTGTATTATGATAACATCTTTAAGGCTATATCTATTCAAAGTACCTAATATATTCAAACCTTTTAGAACTACTTTATTCTTAACAGAAAATTTACTAAAACCTTCTATGTTCCATATACAGCTAATCTAGTTTTATATAATATGCTATAATTACATAATACTTACAATTATAAAGGTTATCTATTTGATTACTACATTATACTATTTTTACTCTAGTAAAGTTTACTATAATCCTAATATTTAGCTTTTTGATATTTTCTCTATTATTCTCTACTAACTACTATTCAGAACTAATAGGACTTACCAAACTTCTAATCCAAATAACCTGATATTGTATACTTTAGTATCCTTTTTTTTTTAATAAATTCAACAGCCTAGTTGTTATATGCACTTCTATATATCTTGTAATCTAGTTTATTTGCCAATTCTTTTGAGAATATTTTATAAGCATTTATTAGTTTGACAATATTGTTACTTAAAAATTTTTAAGGAAACTTTTAACTCTTTGGTTTTTTTGCTTTTTACACCAAGTAGTCTTATTATGAGTTTGCACTAAAATCTTATATGATACTAGTTATTAACATTCTTCTATGTATATATAATGTTACACTTTGCATAAATGTTTTAAGCTTCCATTCAAGATGATACAATTGAAGATTACAGATATGCCAATTCAATTAATTGTTAAGAAACAGTTTGTAATAACACAAATATAATTTCTAAATTTTATTATAGATAGAATTTAAACACTAAACCTGCCACTTGGAGGATAACAATCTACTCACTACATTAGAATTACTATTTTTCAAAAAAAAAAATTTATAAAAATTAAAAAACAAAAAATTTGACAAACTTTAATATAAAAAAAATATATTCTATATAAAAAGCTTTTTAACAACTTAAAAAAGACTATAGAAAAAAAAACCTATTGAAAAAACTTATAAAATTATAAACCTAAATATTACTTAAAGAAAATTTAAAAACAACAACTAAAATATCATCTATTTATATACAATCTTAAACAAAAAATTATCAATAATATAATACAATTTGATTACTTAAAACTTGAAAAATAAAGAATATAAAAATTTAGAAAGGCATTTCAATTTAATATAGAAGAAAAAAGAAATCACCTAAAAGTCACTATAATAATGATATTTATTATCAAACCAGAAACTACAATTCTCTTAGAATAACAAAATAATAAATTATAAAGATATTATAACTTTTATAATTCTTCATAAAAATATTTTAGAGAAGCTAAAAGAAAAATAGCAATAGGAATATAAGAAGTTTATAAAGAAGTTGACCTTAAAATAAAAGAATAATATGCAGTTCAAATTATAAAATCACATTATGCATTTTATAAAAACTTATAAAAATACTTATTTAAAACTACTACCTTTATATATTTATATTTATAAGGACAAAAATATATAAATAATGAACCTTATAAACATTAAAGCTAGAACCTTTTAATTACTAACAAGTTCAAGAATTAAAACTTGTATTAATCGTATTTAATAATATTCAAATATACATAAAATACATTATAATTTTATTAGCATTCAAACAAGAAGACTACAATTCTGAAAAAGAATACAAAAAATTAAACAATGAAGAAATACCTCATAAAAGAGTAAATGAACTCAACAATACAACATTAAATAACACTAACTTAATAGAATCTAAAAAATATACCAACTAGAAAAATATTGTATATGAAGAATAAAAGAATCAAACAAACAAAACCAATTACTTTCAAGAATGCAAAATGATTAAAAAAAGCAAAGGAAACAAAATAACTTAGAATATTTCCTAGAAGAGAATGAAACTGATATTTCAACTACTAAGAAAATCATCAAACATACAGAGATTAAGAGTAAACACAGTTTTACCATTTATAGAAGACAACAATTCAATTATGCAGTAATTAAAGAACCAACATACAACTGCAATACCTTAATTGAATACGGACATATTAAAATAAGGCCATTCGAAAACTATGGCAATACCAACGGCACAATAGAAGATATACTCAAATAATACTCAGATTATTTACTGAAATAATACCGGAATCACACGATCAGAAGACCACCGGCAAAACAACCGGACCACCTAAAGTGATACTGAGCTGTTTGCTGCAAGGGGTTCGTCATTCAATTTCATGAACACGTGGCATCGTCGTTTGGTGTTTTACCTGTCACAATATAGATCTACGTATTTAATAAACTAAAACCCTGGATAAGAAGTTTGTTGAAAGAAAGGCATCTGTATTTTTATATTTAGTCGGTTAAATTAATATCGGCAAGCTCTTAAATATTTGAAAATGACTAGATATTTGGGTAAATTTTGATCCAAATATTTTTATGTCCCTGTTCCGGAACAAAGACAACAGACGATAATTTAGAGCCATGATTTTTTAAATTTATCCAAACAAAATTTGATAACATGCATAGAAATATACTCAGAAAAAAATATTTTGAACTAAAAACTACAATTAATTATATTTTTCAAAAAGTTTAAACTGTTTTATTGAATATGCTGAATAAAAAAAGTAAAAAAGGTAAATGCTAAATATAAATGCAGATATAAATTCTATTGTGTATCTGAATTTGGGACCGCACTGCAATTCCCTCAGAGATGGAAATTAATAACATAAATTTATATACTACTTAGGGATGATTCTAATATCTAAATTTTTGCAAATAGTGATAGCTGAAGTACTAACGTTAAGAGGTGCTTCCATATCTACAAGTTCGACATCAAATTTTCTATAAAGTGAAGCCACTAATATTTTTATTTCTATCATTGCAAGTTTTCTACCTAAACAACTTCTAAAACCTCCTCCAAACATTGGAAATGCAAATTTATGTCGATTTTCAATTTCACTAGAGTCGTAAAATCTTTCTGGAATAAATTTCTCTGGATCCTTCCAATAAAGTGGATTGGTATTAATTCCACGAATATACATGATTAAGAAAGAGTCTGCTGGCCATTTATATCCCGCTATTTCATCAGGTTTATCATAGTATCTTGAAGTCATGGTAACTGCAGGTCTTATTCTTGACGTTTCTTTAATAATTGCTTCACAATAGTTTAACTTGTTTAGGTCCTCCATCATTATTGGTCTATTTGGATCATCTTTGAAAACCGTATTTATTTCATCCAATAACTTCTTTTTAACGTGTGGATGATGTGTAATGTAATATAATACGTAACAAATTGTACTTGCAGTCTATAGAAATAATAACACATGACATTTATAATTAATTATTGGCAAATTAAATCTTTTCAAAATAAAAGATGGAATGTATAAAGAGATCAGGGGTTTAACCTCATTACTTACACTTTCTGTGCCACCCGTAAACGAATCAAACACAATACCGCGTATTTCGTCATCAGTCATTGGCCTTAATAATGAAGGATCAACGTTTTTTTGTGGCTTAGTTTCATATGGTGTGTTGGCAATGATCATGGATGTTAACAAATCATTTTTTAATTGCGATGGATCAAAATTACTATTATTAATGAGTATTCCAACTTCTTTTCTTCTCTTTCTAATTCCTTCTTGCAATTTTTTATTTATATAGTTGAGTATATTCGCCATTTTATTCACACGTCCATTGACAAAAGGGAGTAGTCTTAAATGTTTTTGTATAAATATAATTTGATTATCACCCAAGAAGTTGCTTATGTATTCAATAAATTTCTCGGATTCCATTACTTCTTTTGTAACTTCGTTGGTTTTTAATTTGTGATGATAATTTTTAATCGCAAATGTACGATTTCCTGTTGTAATTATGGAAATAAAATCATTTGTATATCTAAGCATCCAAGCAGCCGCATCGATTATTGCCGAGTTTTCATTAGGGTTTCTCAAATTAATCCAATAATCGATCATTTCTTCAAATAAATTATTTATTATTTTAACGGTTTCGTCAGAATAACATGCTATCTTAAAAGCGTGTGAAAAAATTTGACGATTAAATTTCCAAGAATTATAGTCATAATTTAATGCGACACCTTTACAATCAAGATCAAACAACTTTATAAGTCCATTATTGGGGGTTCTATTCAAATTTTTCTTGAGATTTTCCTTTGCTGATGACATAAATTTATCAACATATTCTGCGCGAGTGATTACTATTTGTCTATTACCACTAATATTTAATTCAAATATTCCATTTTGCCCATATTTTTTAGTTAATTTGAAAAACCATGCATCAATATCTATACGAGCTCTAAAAATTTCAAATGTTCCTATCAAAGGAATTGGTATTGGACCCGGGAGAGGATTTACACGAGTAAAATATTTGTAATAAAACTGAAATATGTAAAAACATATTGTCAACAAACAGATTCTGAAAATAAAAGTTATTTCAAAGATATTTAGAATTTTATATAACAAATCCATGGTCGTAGTTATTGTGTCAATATTTTTGATGAAGGTTTCTGATCGAGTTTTGTCTTTTTTTTTGCTTTAAAAAATTCATTGCTTTGTCTTTATATATTTTCGATCCACTAATAAATAAAATAAAAAATTAACAAAGCATAAAAATTTATGCCTATTATCGTCAAATAAAGGTCTTCTCTTAAATTAATTGATTAGTAATTGAGATGATGCACAACCACTACGATCAATTGATATAAAAATTACGATTAGTGCTTGAGCAATCTCTTGTTATCACCTCAAAGTTTAATAGTAATTGATAATAAATAAAGATCATCTGTTCAATTACTTGAACTTTTAGCTCCGAAGACTTGGCATCTTTGATCTTAACATGCGTCTCTATGAGCAATTTTATTATAGCAATAACAGTCATATTTGGCTACACAATCATTATATTCGGCAACACAACTTTATATGGATTCTTTTAACGTTAAATAAGACGACATCGAAATATAATGATATAGTAAAATAGATTTTATGATTTTAATAAATTATTTTTGTTCACAAAAAAAAACAATACAAATGTCATTAGATAATAATATCTAATCAATCTAAGAACAGGAGGGACCGTAGATAATTCTGATATAGTTGCACATGATTACCAATCGTATCTCGAATTTTAGTAAATCGGCCAATCAGGTTGCAAAAAATAAAAGTTGTGGTATTCACTGAAATTCAAAGAAAATATTATAAGGAAAGCGAAAGTAGTAATTCATCCGTTAAACGTACTTTCGTTTCATAGAAAGTTAAGCTGACAAGTTTTTAATTCGGTTCAGAATATACAAAGTTTCCATCTATTACCCAAAATACGTGATTTCCGGATCTCTGCTCCTATATTTGGTGTAGATAATTGCTAATCGGTCAAACGGCTTTATAACAAGTCGGGTTGTTTTGGCTTCTATCGACATACTCATCGATTGGAATTCCAAATTATCCATACCTATTTAATAATAATAAAAAGGATTAAAAAAGAATCATTTTTTTCCTTTTAAAAAAAAAACATTAAAAATTCTTTAAGATTACATTAGTTTAAAGAATGTATAATTTCATGCACTTCGTTAATCTTGAAGTTATTCGTATGTTCCTCAGATAATCATGTGAACAAGAATCTTCCTCTAATCACTACATTAGAATATTATTTATAATCGATCTTTACCAAAAGTACCTTATTCCACCAAAATTTTAGATCAGAACCAATAAAGTGCAGAAGCTGCTGTAAAACTGGCGTAAAAAAAAAATGCCAAGAGATTGTTAATAACGCGAAATTTCATTCTGAAAGCTAACTTCCAACTTTTAACTATATGAAATGTAAATATAAAAAAATGTATTTTTAAACTTTTTAATATATAAAGACTACGAAAAATTAATTTATTGGTTTTCATAACCCGATCGGGTTAATGTTTTATAATTCCCAAATACTTGACAAAAATTTTGCCGAACGATTTTTCGGTCGATCCGGATTACTACATAAATTACAATTTACGATACATATAGACTACATTGTAATTTGGATATATACAATATGTTTTCGCACAAACTAAGCACACTAAATATGTTTTAAACATGTTCTGAACATGTCGGGTAAGTTTTCAACCGGAAATTTAATAATATTGAACGTGTCAACAGTTATAACACTAAAATTATCTGTAGAACAATCATCATATGTATAGATGTGCCATTTATATGATATCTGATTTTTTTTTCGCGTACAGTACGTACAGTACGTATAGTTGTATAGTGTGTATAGCATACGTAATACACATAATAGATGTACCATTTATAAATCAATTATATGCAACATTGTGCAAGGAATAATTTTTGTTAGAATGCGAAAGACACAGTTTCATAATCAAATTTTGAGATAGGGATACTTTAATGATTTGTTCTAGAATATCTAAAAAATTTTTTGCGTACTGTACTGTACGCGGCACATCACTAATCATATGCAATGTATATATGTATTGAGTAGAAAATTTGTGTGATTTTTACGTGTATGTTACTGACATGTAATTTTTGTTGCACATATGAATAACGTTTGCCAAAACATTTATAGAGCTAGCACATAAATTATAATAATGATCATGTGCCTACACTAGTGTAGCAGATAATTTTGCTTCCATCTTTGTCATGTTAACCTTACTTTTATAGTATTAGGCATTATTCTGTATTTTTGGTGGCTTAATACATGTAACCGCGAATACACTCAGATTTCAACGTTGACGTCTAAAATATAGCGCAACGCTATCATATTGGTGCTGACATCGGTCAGCGGGTAACAATGACCCACTAGGTTACTTACCCATCCGCGGGTGACTTACATGGGTTAAGCCACTAATAATACATAATACTATAAAGGTAAAATAAATATGGCTATGGTGAAACTAAGATGGAAGATGTATGGCATCCTAACACTAATGACAAGGCAAATATGGAAGTGAGGTCCTCTAGCATAACCATATTAAAGTAGGATCTACTCACATTGATTTTCAGCGATTTTTACTATAAAAAAGTTTATTATATCAAATTGCATACGTATATCGACAAACAATTTAAACTTTGTCATTGTAATTACCAAATTTTTCATCATTATAGACGATCAGTATATTTTTCGACAATCATTACTAAAAATTTCTGCAACTAATCAAATGTTAACCCTAACCCTATGTGGTCGATTCAATGAAAATGAACTTTCGACAAAATGATGAATGAATTATACCAAGAATAATTTGGTTTAAATAATGTATGGCGTTAGGACATGCCCGAACACTAGTTTCTTTATCATTAGTTCATATAAAAATACTAACTTTTTAAATAGTTTTTTTTTTTAGTTCGTAATATAATAAAGTTGATTATGCAATAAAATTAACAAGTTCATATGAAGTTATTTTGTAATTTTACAATACACGAAATCCAAACTCAATAATGGTTGTTTTTTTTCATGTGATTTTCTTTCTGAATGGTATAATATCATTATGTCACATTTCACATGTAACAACATTCTTGCTAAATACTTAACAATAGTCAAATACAAATCCCATTTAACATGTTCAATCCCCAATAGCATTATGTTCAACTCATATTTGTATAATATTTACAATATATGAGACATTCAACTTCAACATCATATTACCAACTTTTTACTATAACTTAACAATCCTAATTTACTAGGAATCTCAATACAGATCAGATTATAACAGTTTCAAAACAATCTATGGTCAACTATTAATATCTTCCAAGACCTCAATCCAATTATTGATAATCCAAATAAACATATCTTAAATTTCAAAACTATTCAATTACTAATACATTTAAACATATCAATAATAGTTAATCTTAATGTTTCATGGTCAAACATTATATAATACAACCTCCAATCACTAGAATCAATTTTATCCCAACATTTACAATATATTAGTTTCAAAAAACAAATTAGAAAGTTCAATTTCTTATTTCTTGAACAGTTTTGTATAACTGATAATACTAGTTTACTGAAATGAAAATATCTTTTATCTCAATTGTTATATTTATTTAAAGGTCAAAAATCATTATACTTCACTTATTTGAAAGATATTGTAATGGTTCATAATAGTTTTAGAATCCTTCTTTCACATTACTAATAATCAGAATATAATTCATTTATATACAACTTATAACATATTACTAAAAAATCTAAATCCTAGTTATTTATATATATTGATAATGAGATTATCATTGTCAAAATTCACAAATATTTTAAAAATATTAACCAAATATTTATTATATACTGGTAAACAAATATTGACATAAATTATTCTAGATATTATCCTCTTATATTAACTCAATGTTCATCTTATTCAGGTTATCATTTAAATTTCAACAAAATTCAGAATTTATATACAATTAATGTATCTATAATTATTTTTTCCAATTTTTAAGAAAAGTCAATTCTAATATATTAAATTTTAATGTTAATTATATTGATCTTATTCATTTAACAGCTATTAAATATCTACTATTAATTCCTCCAGTACTAACAATTCCAATTTTAAACTCTTATATTTCTGAAATATTTAAAACTAATGAAACAACAAATATACTTAAACAATACTTAATTCTTAATAGTTTTTAATAAAAATTTAACTTTTATATTGATGGTTCAGTAATTAATATCAAAACTAATCAATAAATAATTGGCATTGGTTGAATTCAGATTAACAATAATAATCAAATTATTTACAAATTTTTTACTAAAATTAACTTCTGACCATCATCCTACAAAGTTAAACTGATGATCATTCTTTTAGTCATCTCTACTACATCTCGAAATATAATAATCAATATCTTTGTAGATTCCCAATTTATCATCACTAAATATACTAACATTTATATTATATTTTTCAATCCTAATAAATTTTTTAAATTTAATACATGATCTATATGATATATTTTATTGAACATCATTAAATCTTATAATCTTCAAATCAACTTTCATAAAATACAAGCTCATATTAATGATAACCTGAACTATCTTGCTGACTTTCTTATTAAATAATATAATCTTTCTTCTGATTTATATTTCAACTATACCAATATCTACAATCCATATTACTTATTATTCTGAGATCAATATTTTATAGAATACTTTACAAGAACATTTATCAAAAATATTTGTAAAACTTATATCTTAGTAATGTGATTATCCCAAAAATAAAACCAGGAATAGAACCAACTTATTCCAGAAATAGATTGGAGATCTATTTGGTTATATTTTAATTATAACCAAACACTAACACATAATATAACCAACTTCAAACTTAATCATTTCAAATCTTTTAAAACTAAAAATTCTACTAAATAAACTATATACATATTTCTTATATTACAAAATATATTCATATAATTTCTATAATATAAATTACTTTTATTACAACTTATCTGACTTATCAACTCATTGATAAACATGTTCTAATTCAATATTACTTACTAATATTATTCAAGATACTATCTTCAAATACATTAATCAAAGCAATCTAGATCTTTCTAAATCCTAGTAATAAGAATTTATTCAAAAAATTCAAAACTATGAAATTTTTTATCTGATATCATTTAATAAAAACTCATTTTATCTTGATATTATTCTTAAAAGACTTATACCCAAATCTCTAATTCATATAATTCAAAACCTTAACATTTCTTACAAATTAGCATCACAAATGATTATTAAAATATTATTTGAAATTAATAAGCTATGCTATGAACTATTTTGGAAACCATATTGTATAAATTTTTCAAATTAAAAAAAAACAATAAGGTCTTAACCCTTTTTTTTCAAATACCTAATTCAAACTAATCATAATAGATAAACTAAATACAATTGTCAAACATATATATATT